GTGCCCGGAGCCGATGGCGCGCTGGGTGCAGGTGCCTCTCGGGCAGGGGCGCGCACCGTGGCTGGTCCCGGTGATGCTCAAGGGAATAAACCAGGCAAAACAAGGCAGAGTCTGGGGAGGAGCACCGTCAGCAGCGGACACCGGTATCCACCGCCAGTTACCGGCCGCGCTTCTCAAACGCTCTGCGTTACTCCGTGTTCCCCGCGCTGAGCGTTCCGGTGGTACCCGGTAATGCTCCCCGTGTTCTGAGTCCATCCAAGGACACTCGGGGGGATCCCTGGGATGTCCCGGGCAGGGCGAGCAGCAAACACCGCAACGAGCAGGAAGGGAAAAGCAGCAAACCCTCCACGTCTGAGCGCAGACTTTCTGAATCAGCCGGCCTGCATTTGATCCCTCCTCAAAAGTGTGATTGTGGCCGTGTGATCTTTTTTTGGCTGCTTTATGGTCCTGTGCCCGTCGATGCTGTGGCGTTGCTGCTGGAAAGTAAAGCACAGGAACTCGGGTGTGTGTGTGTGCCTTGGGCACGCAGATCTCACAAACACACTTGGCTGTTTCTCATGAGGAACAGTGGGCATATTGCCGAGGGCCACCGTGTAGTGTTGAAATGAATCCACCGAGATTCTCATTAACTAACTCTGTTAATGAGAGTTAGAGAAGGAGCTGCCGTGTGTGCTGTGGCCCCGTGGAGGGTCACCCACCGGTGTGAGCAGGGAGCCAGAGGGGCAGCACGCTGTCGCTGTGATCACACCGAGGGTTTTACTCGTGGCTGTCAGGGCACCCACTGTGGCCCAGCCTGGGCTCTCACTGCTCTGCCTTGTCCTCCAGACTGCTGGCTTTGCTGCTGTGCCACTGTGGTGGTGGCACACTCAGGCCTGTTGCTGTTTGTTTGCTTCTCAGCTGTCACATTTTGTGTTCAAAAATGCCAGCTTTGGGAGTTGGAGAGGAGGGTTTGAGTCCTTTCTTGCTGAGATGGGGGTAACTCTAAGAAGGGGTTTAGTCTTCAAT